AGTGATCTCTCAATGGAGTTGTATACCAACAGTCAAACAGGCAGTGGAATGCCAATTTTAGAACTAATCCCAGATTCACAGAACAACTTAGTTTTGAAGGAACATCATGAGGTTATCTGTCTGGTCCATCTTGCTGCTCAAAGCAGGACCAATTTAGAGCAGGTTACTCAGAGTCTTGCCCAGCTGAGCTCTGAGTATCTCCCAAAAGAGAGATTCTAGAATCTCTCCAGGCAACCTGTTCTCATGTGCAATTGCTTTCACTGTAAAAAAAAAAAAAAAGCCAAACCCAAACAATCCCCCTACTCCCTCACATTTCTTATTATATAGTCCAACTTGCATTCATTGCCTCCTGTGCTACCACTGTGCACATCCAAGAAGCATCTACCTTCATCTTCTCTGTACATACATATCCATTAGGTAGTTGAAGACAACAATTCATATCTCCCTTTAACTATCTCAAAACCAAAAAATACACCTGTTCTCTCAGTGTCTCTTCACATACTACATGCTTCACCTCCCTTATCACCTTGATGGCTTTTTGCTGGAGAATATCTATGCAAGGTAGCATGTACCATCAGAAGTTAAGCAATTGTGCATATATCTGCAAAAGACATTTAGGTTCTGATGAATACCAGTTGTGGTGAATGCCAGCAATACATTTACATTGATCTTAGGCATTCTTAACAGATTTTATATCATTGACACACACTGCAATACAAAATAGAATAGAAAAAAGAGGTGCTGAATAGAAAAAAATATGTAATAAATTTCCTAAATATGAGAAAGTATCAAAGGAAGACATTTAGATTTACTTGGAAGTTGTAAATACTAGCCTTTGTATCCTCTGTGCATCTCTCAAGAAGTGATAACTCTCTACAGTGCTGAACGCTGTATAAACACTGAATGAAATTTCCGTGGTCCCAAAAATATAAGGCAAAAGACATTATGTGGACACAAAGAGAAGCCAAAGGACAACTCTTAGTAAACAATACTAATCAATCAGGCAGATGGCTCAGCACGTAGTACCTAACTGCCTTACTGACAATGTTCTTGTTGCATATTGCTTCCTAATACACATCATTCCTTCTCATTTGGAATGGTTTCCCCTAGTTTCTCCATTGTTCTGTTTGTAACAAATCTATTTAAACATACAGGCAAACAAAATGGTACAAAACTGTGAAAATTTATATGCTGAAGAATTTACGAGATTTAACACAGCATGTTATAAAGACACACAATAAATGGGATCAGACTGATGTCTACAGACACCATACACAGAACATTCTGCTGCATAGAACATGCACAGTGTAACAGTCAATGGCAGTGTGGTAGCTATTTTATCAGGTATAAATACATTTGCTCTCAATGCCTTATCTAATTTTCTTGTCTTCCCAAGCACAGCGTTTACATATATCTAAAATAAACCACACTTAAAGAAAAATTGTCCCCAAATCCACATATGCAACCTCCCCAGTCTAAATGATGGAAAGGAGAACACCCATAACTACATATACACTTCCCAAACAGTAACAAATGTACATAATAATTTACTAACATATGTCGAACAAAAATAGCATTCAACATCTCTCATTTCCTCTATAGAGATGGACCACTTCAGGCAATGATCAAAAACCAATAATACAGCCTCCACAGTATTCACTCTCCAAGAATTAAATACTACTACTGTTTCCAAGGTAATCTAATCCCAAATCTTTAAACATAAATTTTCACTGTTCCATTCACTCCACTGTTGCTTTCATGGCAGCTTTTTCACAGAGGCTCTTGAAATATCCCAGACCTCACAACCCACAGTCTGCTCAATATTTCAAAGAAAATTTATCCATCTGTTTGCATCTTCCTTATTCCCAATAACATACGATACACTACAACTACTTATGTATAACTAAGTATCAGAGAATTATGCTACAAAACAAGTTTGAGTACACAGATGTATATTTACACATACACACTCTACTATATATACTACCACCATTACCTCTAGCAAGTGCCAATTTTGAAGTAGTTCTTCTTTTAGTATAGGAGAGCTTCAGAGGAAAGTAGCACATAAAATCTCCATCTCTAGCCAAACTTTCAAAATCACATACAATTGTACTGACAGCATAAATTGAGTTAATTTTTTTTTTTTTAAAGGACAAGACAGGATCTTCAAACTACAGCCCTATTCAACTTTGGTTTGAGCTAATAAAATAATTTTGATAATTCTTCTGCTGAATTTGTGTTTTTCAACATGAATCTACAAGGGATAAAGCCTGTCTGTGATTCAACGTGGAAGGCCCCACTTCCTTTTGCTCATATGCAACTGCTCTGCTTTGGAAGCTTTATATAATTGGCTTCCCTGTATTCTTTCCTTTCCAATTATATCCCTCCCACTGAAACTTTGTTTAAATTTAATTTTCTTTCAATACACACCTTTTATAAAACAGAGGCAATAAAGTGGTGCTAAAAGACAGAGCAAGAAAGAGATGGAGGAATTACAATTAGATAAGAAGAGTATTTTAGGGACTCATTAGAATTGAGCCACACCAGGAAAAGCTTCATCATCTTTCTGGGAAAACGTGTTCATCCTTATCCAGTACGCCTAAGGAACCTTTAGAACTCACAATACACTTAACAGCACTGAGGGTCTACTTTATAGCAACACTATACCAAGGATGTTGCCAATGCACAAAATACTCCTGATACTCTAGAGAAGCAAGATAAGGAAGCAATACAAGAGTCTTACCAGGTAAGATCTGACTAGCCTCTAAGAACATACGTTAAAATGTCATGTCAGGGTAAGAAATCCTGTTAAGGATGTTAATCAGCCAGAGATCCCTGCCTTGAAAAGAAAGTACATTTTTGGGCTAGTTCCAAGGGGACTGTTTGTATTTAACAGAATTGCTGACATCTATAATCCATGTTGTGTAGATAACCCTTCTAATAGCAACACAACTTTATCTATTGATATGACAAAGATACAAGGAGAACACTACATGCTGAAATATGCACCTGTAGTCCCATTTTTTAATTATTTTTTAATAGAAAAGCTGACTTGTCTACATATTTAATTTTTTCCTCCTCTCTGCTTGTATTTCAATTTGATGATACATGTAGAATGAGACAGAGTTCAAGATCAGTGAAACCAAAACTTAACTGTCCTTCATATTAAAAGTTTTACTGATTACTGCCTAAAGAAGAAACCCCCTCCATTCATATTGCTGCTATGACTATAGAAAGTTAAATACAAGCACAGCGTTTTACTCTTGCAAACAACTTTATCCTGTCAAACAAAAGGTCATAGCTAAGACAACCAGAACAGATAAAGAGAAAACAAAGAAAAATGTCAAAGCCCCCAACAGATCACAAAACTATTTCTAATGTAAAATGTATCTTTAAAAATGACATCGCATGCTGTGGTCCTCTATAATACTATTGTTCCTACAGTTAACCCTTCTTGGGTTACACTGACTAGTAACTATGTCAGAAGGAAGATTACAGTTTTTAAAACTAAAATAATAGTTATTTTCTAAAAAGCACCTGTACATTAGATAGAATCTGCTGGGTCTCCCTATGATCTGTGAGCTTCTTTCTTCAAAGGAGGAGATGCAAACAACTTTTTCCAGCAGAGATTTAAGACTACCCTTATCATCATGCAGAAGCAAAATGCTTGTGAGGAGAAGAAATTTAGCTGTAAAGCCTTTCTTTTTCAGAATTCAGGTTCCACCGTCAGGGAAATCACTGATGCCCTGAGCATTAATGGACTCTGTCTTGTTCCTACAGCATGATCAGCCAGCATGTAACTGCTTCGTCGGTTGCTAGGGAGCAACCAGCTCATTACAAGGCATCATCCTCACCCTCCACAAGGATGCTGGCACATGCTTCCCATCTGGGGATACCACTGATTAAAGTAACGGCACTCAAGTGCCTGCCAGTCTTCAGTCTCCCGAGGTGGAGTGTGCCAATACAGCAGGTGCTAACTTTAGCTCTACCTTCAAGGTTTTGGGCTCTAGTCTCTGCGAGCCTGGCCAATGCAACGCAACACACAAAAGTCGGAACAGCCTTCCACAGCTACTGGCATGGATACCCCTTATTTTTAAAGGCCAAATCTTGACAAACATGTTCTTCTTGAAATCATGGCTTTTCTGGCTAGGGCAATGACTGCCACTACTCTAAAGCCTATGTTAGAGAAAAATTCAGTAAAAATGGAAAAAGGCTGAAAAAAAAAAAAAGAAAAAAAGAAAACTTCTTTTCAGTCAAGAACAGACCACAAGTTTTGGAGGCATTTACAGAAGACATATAGAAACCTAGTGATCTCCAAGCTGTATACATTAAATCCCCGGAATGGATGTCAGCCATGAACAATCTGGGTCACTTCAAAGTCTAAACATGCAACCTGAACGCATTTTTTTCATCTGTCTCATTAGCACTTAACAGATCTGTTCACAATAAGAGGGGAAAAAAAAAATCTGTCAAGAAATAAAAAAGCCATCCTGCTTCCATATGCCAGGAAATTTATTAACTAACAAACTATCTGCATTACACAGAGATGGTATCTAATGATTTTCATGTACCTGTCATATGTCAAACACCATCCAAGAATTCTTAGTGCTGGTGAATTAACAAGCACATATGGGAATACAGCTGTAGATATGCAGACACCTATACACTCAAATCCTTGGGCAACTTCAATATGCCTTTTTTTTTTTGAACAATTGCATAAAGAAACATAAAAAGGCATGAGGAGGAATGCAAATCGGGGTGATTCACTCACCAAATGCATGGAACATTAGCTCTATTTGAAGGGGACGCGTAAACACAAAAAGTGTCAACTTTCCCTCTTACCTGAAGTTAAGATGTAATTGTTAAAAACTTAAGAAGACCAAGATACAAAAATGCTCACCACTAATATATGAAACAATGTCATGGAAACTCATGTATCATTAAATGCATTTTAAAATAACCAATTAGTTTGAAACACAAATATGTACCCAATTCCTTACCTGTCTCAACAATTTCTCAACAGCTGACATTACCATGAGCCCTCTCCACACAACCGGGGCAGTCTCTTCTATCAAGAAACCCATAGACATGCTGAAACAACAAAGCAAAAACTTCAGCTTTCCAGCACAATACCACATGCATCTGTAAAGAAGCTTGATATAAATTAAAACATATGCTCACCATGCAATTCCATAGTTCTTAAGGGGCCTCATTAGATTTTCTAAAACAGAAGAAAACAAGGGGGTTTTTTGGGAGGGGAAGTTGGTTTTGGTTTTAGTTTTTTTTAAAGAAAAAAGCCTACACAATTTTTTTCCTTTTAAGAGCAGTTTTCCCTCTCTGTTAAAAGCATTTGTCTATTTTTCCCTGTCATTCCTTCCATATATGCACACCTTTATCTATTCTACCCAAGAACCTGGCCCGACTTTTTCTTAGGCTGTTACATTTTACTGATACTATTAATCTTTTGCCAGAATAACAATGCATGTGCCCATAACATAACATTACATTAATTTGTGCTGCTGAAACCAAGACTTTATATATTTGTATGAAATACCCATGCTACAAGGTACAAATCCCCTGATAGGCAGCCTTCTACTTCTGCAAGACTTTGCTAAATATTGAGTCATTTATATCAGAACAAAATCGAAGCCGTACGACATGATGGGATTTTTTTTTTTTAAACTACACTGTTTACTGATCTCATCAATCAGAGGATTGTTCCCATTAACACACCAGTGTTTTGGGGAATGCTTCTCCTTGTATTAAGTCTGCTTTGGAACCCCAGAGGAGAGGTACCAAGTAAAGCCACTCCTAAACTACATGTTGTCAACAGCTCTGGGTAAGAAGTCCTGGATTTCTTCAGAATGGCAGAAGTCTGCAGGACTTCTAAAATTTCTGTAAGAACAGAAGATGTTTATTTCACCATTGGAGAGGTAATGTCCTTGTCATGTTCCATATTCCTATGCTTTCCAGTGGGGAAAAAAAAAAAAGAAAAAAAAAAGGGAGGGGGAAATGTTGTAACTGTTCTGCTGTGTTCTGCTGGCAAAGGAGCAAGCAAGCAGAAAGTAAACAAAAAACTACTGCATTCAAAACAAAACCCCGCAAAAGCCAAAAACTCCTCTTTATAGTCTCTGCCATCTAAATCCACACCTCATTTCAAAATAGTACACACAAGCACAAAACAAAAGGAATTTTATTTGTTCTAGCTGGTTTATTTTAAGAGCATGCACAGGCAGGAATCAGCAGAAAACAAAAAGAATACTGTAAGCTATAAAAAATATATTATAATACATATTTTGACAGAAACCTTGATGCACCTGAAGTAAAATATAGATAGATAGTAAAATAAAAACAATGTGAATATAATGCAGTGCATTCAAAGCTGAACTCCAAATTCAGACAAAATAACACCCAAGAGCACGCAAATTAAACAGCTAAACTCTACAGATGAAAGCTTTCAAGCAATCAAGTGGGCACCCAAGCTATGTAATTTTGTAGAAATATGGCTGAAAATAAATTGGATACAGTTTTTCCTACCCACAGTGTTTTGGTTTACAAATCAAAAGGAACAAAATAGGAAGCTAAACAAATCACTTGCATGACTACTGCATTCAGGAACGAGTATGGAACTGCTACTGGAAAAGAGATGGGCTACATCAGTATAATACAACAATGAACCACCACAAGTTATAATACTGCTAGCAGTCTTGAGAAAAATGACTACATATTTACTTATGAGAGCGTTTTAAAAAAAAAAAAGACACAGGAAAAAAGTATTTGCAACTGCATGTATCATCAGATTCAAGGTCTGCTTCATTTTCACCGGGAAACAGGAATGATTTTAAGGAAAAGAAAAAAAAAAAAAAAAAGAAAACAAAAAGGGGAGGCCAATCCTTGACCACTCAGCACATGAGGACCAGAAACCGGAGGGTAAGAAGAATGGAAAAGAGGCATTTATTCTAAGAAAGCTCACCAAAATTCCATGACACTTCTTGGTTCAATCGAAGTGCTCTGGAGTATGCCAGTCAACTATCCAGAGACTAATACCTCAACATCCACTACCTGCATGGACAGTTTCTTCTGTATAGAGCCCAGGTAGACATACTAATCTCACAGAACTGACGCACGTCTCCTTCACTTCAGTGGCTAGAACAGGAGAGTTGCTGTGAAAGTACATGAGCACTGACCTACAGAGTAGCCAAAGGGGCCTCTCTGTTGTTAAACATGTGCACTGTTTTATTTCTCAACAGTAGAGTTTCGTTTTATGAAAACTGGATCTTATTTTCTTTGGTTAACAAGGACTATAAACTGCTCTGAGCAGCAAGACTTAATCAAATTTATACAATGCACAAGAACAATTCACAACCTGCTGTATATTCTGGCTATAATGTTCTACATGTTCTCAGAGAAACACAAAATACTGCAGAGCACCCCACTGTTTGCCTACTGCTAAAAAGCTTTCTTAAGACGATCTCAAATCTAAAGTGCTTCAGTGGGCTCTGGTAATCACCCTTGTCTCATCAAAAGCAACAGTCATTCCTCCTCCTTCGCCCAGGGTCTCCTGAAGATTTTCCAAAACAAAACATGTAAAGAAGATTTAGCTTAATGAGATCTTAGTAACATCTCTAATTCCCATTGCTTTCAGAATAGAGTTAACACTTCCTTCTCTGTTATCAGATGCCTACCATATAGTTCCAAAAATCCAAGAAAACACACAAAACAGATTTCTTAAAATTGCAACACACAGCAATCCTGTGCTACCTATATTGAGATCAATAAAGCAGCCTTGTTTACAACTTTTCAGTAAGCTTAATGGCCCTAAATAAAAGGGTGCTGTGTTTTCTCTGAACATAAAACATCAGACCAATAAGATCAGAGCACCAATTAAACGCCAATAAAATGCACTTTCTGGTAGGACATCAGTAAAGCACTGGAAAAAGTAAACACATGCAAATTCATGACAGCATTGCAGCAGACTGCTGATTAAGAAAGCTCTAGGACTCATCTGAAGGCTGGATTGTTACTCATATAGGGACAAATCATGTTGAAGTCATTAAGATGGATCTCCTGCATTTCATAATTTTTGTTTTTATTTTTTTTAGCATTTTTCCCGCAGAAAAATCAAGACTTGCAGACTATCCTGACAAGTTAACCAAGTTACTCCATTTTTTTTGTCCAGACAGCCTGACATTGCTATTCAGTGGTAGTCATAGGTTAGAGCAGCAAAAAAACATAACCAAGAATGAGATGAAAACACTGGAAGCTCAGAGTTTCCTCCCTTTTAAAGATTACCTACTGTAATCGGCTATTTTTGGAACTTGCCACCATAATGGAAGATCTGAAACCTCCTAGAATGACAACTAATTATTTCACTTAATGTTTGTCTTCAAAAAAAATCTTAATAGTGGAAGTCACCTGTGTTCTACCTGCATTTTGGTCATTGAGCGGGAAGGTGGTGCTTTAAGTTTTTCCAAGATGGGATGTCAATAACTAAATCTACCAAAAAGCAGAACAATTGTACAATTTTCCAGTTTAAAACAGCCTATTGACCTTTGCATGCAGATTTCCAAATGTTTCCAAAGACACTACCAAATGCAGAAGTGTTTGCCAGCACAGACACCACTGCAAGCTCTGGGCTATGCTCTGAATGCACCCATTTGCTGCTTCTTAATTTTTATACAAGTCCCATTTCTGTAATACCTATGCACACAAAAGGAACATTTTTACCTAACAATATGCTTCTGAGGTGGGGAATTACCTAGTGTGACAGATGAGGGAATCAAGGCCTGGACTGTGAAACTTGCTCTAGGTCATTCAAGAATCCTGCGTATTTGGAGATCTATACCATGTTCCCCCAAGGTCTGATGCTCTAACAGAGCCATGGCTCCACTTACAGCACCTCCAGTGTTGGAAAGCATGTAATGCACAACTGATAAACATCTAGGACAGCTAAACAGTTTAGGTGCATTGCTGAAGTTACATATTTTCCCTTGAAACTCCCAAATAGATCTGAAGGAATTAAAAGTTTTAAAAAGCAGACTGAGGCACAAACAGTGTACAACAGGACAAACTATAGAAAGTTACATTACATGTTATCTATAACACCTAAGCCTCCAAATAACATTTCAGCATCTCATGTTTAAGCACTAAAACAGCAGCTTTACAAGTGTATTTCTGAATAGCTCATAAGTTTAAGTATTCCTTCATCTTCCATAGTATACTACTTAAGTAAAACCCATACTGTAACTCTCCTGCATATATTTATCAAAATTTGAGCAAGTTGATATTTCTTCATCGTTTATCCGAAAGCTGCTGTTTGCACAACTCATCATTAGCTGAGGCTTTCATGACAAACTGCTGTTTTCCACCTCCTCACATCTCAGTGATGTCTCACTGCCTGAAACACAGAATACACATGGTACAACAAAAAACACTGCCACCGTGCTAACCAGAGAGAGACACTGCAGAATAGTCTGTGGATTCCAGTACATTTAACAAGATCAGCTGAGACAAATTCAATTAATGTGTCATACATACAGACAAGATGAAACGGATTTTCAGCATGGTCACTTGTAAAATCTCAAAAATTTTTGCATCATCCGGTTTTTAATTGTGTACAATTTCATGCTGCAGTGGCTGCAGAATACCTATCACAATCTAAGTGAGGACTCCAACTTACACAGCACTTTCAGTAAATCAGTCATATGGCTGTTGCTATGCAGAAGTATAATGAACTTATTTGCTGTTTATTTTGAAAGTCGCCTCTCAAGAACAACGTTCTGTAATGGGAGGATCCAGGTTCCAGTCAAGGACACAAAGATTTCTGACTGCACAGACTTGAACATAAAGATTTCCAACAACAGGAGGAGGAAAGAAGGAATGGGGCAAAAGAAGGAAGGGGACATAGGACAGAAAGAGTAACAAAAAGGCTGGGCTTTACTTGTGTAAATATAGATGTCTCCTGCCACTCTGGATGCCTTAGGGAGCTGAGATTTGTACAAGGCTAGCAGATTTGATAGAGGGCATAGGGGAGAGCCATACCTTCTGAAAAGACAGCTACAGTCCATACTCCAGCGTGCTTAAAGCAGCGCTAGTTTCCTAAGCAAAGGCAAGTAAATTCCACCCACAATGCAGTAAAGGGAAAAGAAATGCAGTGGAGGAGAGGGGGGCAAATAGTGGCAGGGCCTGGGGCATCCTGCAATAAAACACAGAGACACCAAC